CATCGAATTGAAAACAAACAGGGTCAACCACAACAAAATCAACCATCAATAACGACAAATATAATACCATACATTCCCGGCATATCTGAAAAAATAAAACGTGTTGGTGATAAATTTCAAGTGAAAACTGTGTTCAAAACTGAAAATACAATGAGATCAATTCTAACTCAAACAAAGCCGAAAAATGAAGAACAATCATCAAAAAATTGTATTTACAGTATACCTTGTGTTTGTGGAAAGTTTTATACAGGTGAAACCAAGAGACCTCTTTCAGTAAGGACGAAGGAACATAAGTACAATATAAAGAAAAGAAACATCGATAAATCGAAACTAGCTGAACATATCCTTACTGAAGACGGACAACATATGGCAGAGTGGAATAATATTAAAATTATTGGAAAAGAAGATAACAACCAGAAGAGAAAAATCAAGGAATCTGCTTGCATTCTTCTGAACGGAGACAATAACATTGCTTCTTGTTCAGTTGATATAGACAGAACATGGTATTCACTACTAAAATCTGAACATGAAAATGGTAAATTCAAGATCAATTAATGAAAACATCCTGTAACTCATTTGATTGCCAACGTCACCAATTGTCATTGAAAACTGAAAAGCTTCAAGACATTATACGACTTCGCTATTGAAATAATCTCTTCTTATGTTGAAAACGGGAGCAGAACCGGTCCCGAAACGTCCAAAGATAAGTGAAAATTTGATATTTTTTCTATATACCTTTATTTCCCTTCTCCAAAAATTTTTTCAATACAAATTGTCACTGACAAGCTAGTGAATTTTTCTTTTAGGCTCTCTGATAGGAAAATTCTTTAAACGCAGTGACATTTTGGGGCAAATCATCTGATTTGTCCTTACTACACGTATATTGAAATAATATTCATATTTTTATTTTATAGAAACGAGGAGAGAAAATCCCAAAAAATTTGGAATAATGAATAACATTTCTCGATCGTATTTGAGTTTTGTCTTTGATCTACTCAGACATTGATAAACCTGTCAAACCATAACTATGTATCAACTCATATTTCTAGTTCAACATCATACAGATCTGCGACTTTATTGCTATAAGTCACATTGATTCCTATGAGTTTCAACACTTATTTAAGCAAAATGAAATATTCACAAGCATTACAAGTTTTTGAACCATATCGAATATACAAAATATCAATGAAAAGTGGCGCAAATGATGAAAACTAACCCTGTCGCCTGTCATTTTCTTCTCTGCTCATCTCTTTGTCTCAAATGTAAGTGAATTATTCATATCCGTCGTCACCAATTCATATGATCAAAATATCTCCACATAAACCGCTATGACTATGTTGAAAACGCTAGAATCCGTCGCAAATCAGGTTGAAATGTCGCATTCACCTAACAACTCTAGATTTAGCGTCAAAACCGCTAAGATGGCAATCCTCGCTAACCTCAACTTGACCTCTATCCAGTTAAAACTTGACATTAACGCCTAGAAGCAGGACACATCAAATATTGCGAGCGAGCCATGCGGAAGTAAGAGTACAGAAACTGTCCGGCCTCTGAGAAGACTGAGATGTTTGGAAGAAGATGGTATTGTTACTCAGGGCTGGTTGCCATGGTTACATTGGTCAAAAACTGATAACACTTTAAGGTTCTTGTTCATTGAATATCCGTAAGAGGCGCTGATATCGTCATTTTTTGATGGCAATCGGACCAACCAACAACAATCACGATAAAAAAGATACAGAAATGGTGTAAGTACGTCCATTTTCGATAGTGTGTAATGACGTTTTGATAATTGAGCTATAATTTTTATTTCAAAGAGAATTCGAACAGCGACATCTATTAGAATAAAACGTAAAAAGAACCTTATATTGCGATTTTCAACTGTTTATTGTCGTCTTGTATGGGCAAAACAAAAGCGCATCAGTGCAATCACCATATTTATTATAAACATCTCAGACTTTAGGCGTGACAATTTTTGGTACGTTCTGTCTCTAGTACCAGGAAACAGGTAGCCGTATCAATATTCTTCAATATTCTAATCCGCATTCGCTTGCCGGTCGTGAGTTCGATCCCTGGGGACTGCAAACATTTTTCTGATGGCACAAGAAAGTGTTTGGGATCACACGTTAAAAGGTAGGGCCCCAATCATTCCTTGCTCGCACAAGACTCTCGAAGACTTCTGAGGGTTGCTCATAAGGGAACAACCGAATGATGGATAGAATAATTTTAAAACGATTTTTAAAACAATTTAGTTGCTATCTCGATGTATCGTAGTTGCATAACGCACCGACAGCAAATGAAAATATGACATGAAATCATTTTTTTATTCATGAAATAATGAGTGGAATGATTTAAGCAAATACAACTCGTTTTATTGATGATTTTCGAAAATCCCTGCTCTTTTTCGGAACACATTATGTTGCATTTAGGCATCCACACTCGCGCTCGTGTGCTCGCCAAGAAACATAATTCGTTTCTCAAGATCGAAGGGATTTGTATGATCATTAATACACTCAGTGGCGGCGCCAGCTTGTTCTTTCCAGTTGGGCGACATCCGGCAGAAAAATTTGAATTGTGGGCAGCAAAAATATGTTTTAGGTATCTAGGTGATGTTTCAGATAATAGATATAAATTGTATAATGTACAACTAATAATAGATGTTTTGCGAATTTGTGAATAAATGTGAAATACAAACTAGTACGGTTGGAAGAACGAAAAAAAAACAGATTATTTCAAAATTTATATTACACGGAAACGCATGATTATATAACTATAACCTATAACAGACACAGTCTAACGTTTAGGTAGGTTAGGAAAGCGCTATTCTTCTATTATTATATTTAATTGCGAAATTATCTACAACTATATCTAAGTCCATTGCTTTTACAATACTTTTTTCAACGCACAATATTCCTAAATCTGTGAGTCTCTCTTAGTCTCTTGTAACATTGTAGTCCTCAAATAGTTTTTTATTCTTATCAAGCCACTAAACGACCTCACCCAACTGGCGCTTGAAGGGGGCACGGTTATGGCAATGTTACACAATTTTTTTATTTAAAGTCCTTATTTTAACATTATGATTCATTTCATAACTGTTATTGGTTTTTGGTAGTAATTCGAGCAAGCTGAGATAGGGGATTCCCCACAGAGGCCGCGTCGGTCTCAGAGGCGTGCATTTCTTGGACGTTCATTGTTATTTGTGATTCCGGAAACACGTTGATTGATCCATTAACCATTGGAACGGTTAGTTAGATATAATATTGAAAGCAATCTAAAAAAACTACTTTTCTCTATATCTATTTTTTGCTCAAATGTTTAGTTTAGCAGGCTGGGCGGGAACAATTTGAGTTGGGCGCTCGCCCAACCGCGCCCACCCCTGGCGCCGCCACTGAATACACTTGTTATACGACGCTATACATAGTGGAGTATACTACGGCCTTGTCAAAAATGCTATCTCGGAAACTAAGCGAGATAGAGGTATAGTTACTTTGGAGAAAATGATCCCCATCGAATTTTGAGCAACTTTGGTTTTTGTGTGTGGTCTGTCTGTCTGTCTGTCTGTACTCTGTGTTAATCATACATCGATATATCTCCGGAACCCTTCGACATATCGACTTGAAATTTTGCCATCTTATTGTACTCGAAACAATATTATGTCATTGAAATATGAAGGAAATCGGAAAACTCTAAGGTGGTTTTTCCGGGTTTTTTCGATTTTTCACCGAAAGTTTCTTGCGACCACTCTACAAATCGCAAAGGTGGTCCGATCGATTTCATTTTTTGTGAAAAAAAACTCTATCAGGGAGAGACGAAGCCTATTGAAATTGAGCAGGGTCGGAAAATTCGAAGTGGATTTTTCAAGATTTTCCGAAACACACGGTTCGCTTTAAAACGATATATCTCCTGAACAAATGGACTAAATCCAAATTTGAAAAATGCACCGTATGCCTCTTTGAAGACGCAACAAATTATTATTTAACCATTTTTTCGTGCATCCATCGGAAAATGGAAAAACAAATGAAAATCGAAACATCAAAATTTGAAATCCTTTCAATTCAATATATATCGAAAACAAATTGAAAAATCGAAAATTATCAAAAGTGCAAAGTTATCCACTGGAACATTTCCTACAAATTATTTACCATATTTTTTTCTGTAAACCCAATAGTACAGGAAATGAAGTGAAAAATATGAAAAAAAAATTTTTAACGACCCATAGGGTACTATGAAGATATATTGAAAAACAAAGATTATCGATAGATGAAGCTCATCGACTTCCACTGAACCATGAAATATTTTTTCATTTTGTTGATTGGAAGATGGAACAGAAGTGTTGAAAATTTTATTCTCAGATAATTCCGAATATCTCGAAAACAACTGAAAATATCTGAAAATGTTATTGAACCAAAATTATTCCTTTTGATAGAATGTACAAAAAATCCGTATAACTTTTTTCTCTGAATTCAATATTTCGGGAGATACGATGAAAAAACTAAAAATATTTACAAGTTCCTAGATTATCACTAGCCAATAGAAAACAAAACAAAAAACAAAAGAAAGTGAAAAAAGCACACTCGACTGTCTTGATTTTTTTCTCATAAACTATGTACCTAGCTCACTCGACTGTCTGGAAAAACCAAGACAGTTGAGTGGGCTAAGTATGTAGTTTGTGGGAAAAATCTCCAGTTCTCTGAACTTTCATAGCGTCGTATACACATCTTTGGTGCCCAATGATAGTTTCAATATAAAAATATGCTCATGATATGGTGCCATGGCCTCTACTTCCATCTTACATGAGCAATGATAAAATATCATCTGCTTTTATAGCGTCGTATGAATTATCTGACCTCTATACTAATCTAATACCTAATGAAAACTACATCTATACTAATCTGATACCTTTCAAAAACTACGTACTCCACTTGTTGTATTATATACGAAATGGCTCATAAAACTGAAGTAAATCACTTAAGCCGCCTTTAGAGCATTTTTCTGTGACCAACCTGTGTTTATCATCGTCCCATCGACCGTAACACAAATCGATTCCACCGACGAAAGCGTAAGTCTGATCCACGACCACCATTTTCTCGTGGTGCGCCCAGAGAAGGACGCCCGCCTTCGCGTGGTCCGGATGCCTCATCACCTGTATGTTGCTAGACGCCTCGATCAGCTTCTGTTTGCTGTAGTAACTGTTGAGGCCGAGAGCCATTTCTACTTCCTTGTAGAGCAGGATATAGATTTTGACTCCGCTTTTCTAAGGAGCAAAAATAGTACCGTCAAACGGGGAGAATTAGGACGATTTGACTGTTATTTATAAATTTCGCAGGTGAAAATATTCATCAATATATGGGATGATCAGAAAACCTAACGGGAACGGAACTAATATGAGATTCAATAATACGTACATTTTTTGCATAATGAGCATAAGTTTGAGAAGAATGTGATATTCATCATCATCACCTAATTACATAGGAATCAAAATATATAATAAGTTTAAACTTATATACAAAAATTATGAAAACTGTAACATATCATTTGAGACTATACTTAAAAGTTTACTACTTGAAAATGCATTCTATTCCATAGAGCATTTTCTTCAGTTTTGAAATGGTTTTACTTATTTTTTAATTTCTTAAATTTTGTTGTGAACGTATTTATAATGATTACTTTGAAATGATTTTAACTTATATTTTAATCAGTTTGTGAATGTATTCATATTGATTATTTGTTATCATTATGTTCGATTTTACAACTACTATACAGGGTATTTCACGACGAGCTTACACTATCTTTATATCGAGAATCAATCGCGAGAAATCCATGAAAATGTGCATGCTTATATCTCAGAATACGCTCTTTTCATTTAAAATATTTTCGACAATGCAGTGTTGCCGCTTCTAGTAGAAAGTAGTAGCAACATTGATATTTCAAATGGAACGCCCTGTATTTTATCGCATTTTTAGATTCTCCCTGAAGAGCTGATTTTATCGATGTATCACACATTGGGTCTATCGCGAAAGATTACAGAGATATAGGGTGTTCAAAATCGAGATTTTTCAACTTAAGGATTTTTTTGTGTCGAAACTATCCATTATTGGTCGAAACGGCTCACATGTCCCTATCTCAAATTCTGATTCACTATTTATTCATATTTAATCGGAACAGATACAGGGTGGTTTGAGATTCAGAACTCTGATCACCCTGTATCTGTTCCGATTAAATATGAGTAAATAGTATATCAAAAGTTGAGATAGGGACATGTGAGCCGTTTCGACCAATAATGAATAGTTTCGACACAAATAAATCCTTAAGTTGGAAAATCTCGATTATGAACACCCTATATCTCTGTAATCATTTCCGATAGACCCTAAGTGTGATATATCGTTGAAATCAGCTCTTCAGGGAGAATTCAAAAATGGAATGAAATACAGGGTAGTCTACTTGAAATAACAAAGTTGTTACTACTTTTTAATAGAAGCGGCAACACTGCATTGCTGAAATTATTTTAAATGAAGAGAACGTATTGTAAAATATAAGCATGCATATTTTCATGTGTTTCTCCCGACTGATTCTCGATATAGAGATAGTGTAAGCTCGTCGTGACATACCCTGTATAATTGTATCTTGACTAGGCTGATAAGTGTAATGCATTTTACTTATGTACAACCTTCTAGTGTGCCATTCATTCTATTGATAATAGTTCAGTTGTCTGTCTACAATAAAAAACATATTGTCAATCAGATTTGTATTTTCTCATATAGTAGATTTCCTTGATATTCCCATTGGAATTATAGTTTCTACCACATAGCTCAACAGATGCGACTGAGAGTAAGGTTCATTTAGACTAAGACCCTCGACCAACTTCTGTTTGCTGTAGTAACTGTTGAGGCAGAGAGTCATTTCTACTTCCTTGTATAGCAGGATATAGATTTTGACTCCGCTTTTCTAAGGAGCAAAAATATTACCGTCAAACGGGGATAATTAGGAGGATTTGACTGTTATTTATTAATACACACTGTTTTTGCAGGTGACAATAGGCGACTGAGATTAAGATCGTAGCGCCAGAACGGCGAATGTCGGTATTACTCTATGGGCCATTGGCGGATTGTTAACATTGTTTGGTAATGGTGTTTATGTTCATTTCATTTTGAATTTTCAAACGTTCACCTTCGTTATTTGTCTATTTTCGAACTTTGTATTTTCCAGCGGTCTACTGTGTTTTGATTGAGGACTATATTATCTCTGTTCAACATTAGATAACCTCCTTACCTCTAGTTGAACTTCATATATACCAACATACATATAAGCTGTAAGTTTGTATCATTATTGAACAAGAATTCTCATGAAAACCTGTGTGGGATGTTGATTTCCAATTCGAATATATGGCTGGGAAATTCCCTTGATAGAATGATATTTAAAAAAAAATCCAGCATACTTTTTGGGAATAAAATGTTCTTTCGAAGGTGAATTTAGGTATACAGTTTCTACTTGACTTTTTAACCCTGATTGATAAAATTCTTTACTGTTTAAAAATTCCACTGTTCATGAGTAAAGATATAATCAGTTTAAAATTTGTTTGTTTTATTACCATCACCTCAAGAAGTAGGTATTATATTCATAATAGACATACATTTGAAAATATACCTATATGAGTAAATTTTCAAAAAAACTATATCTCATTATGATCAGACACTTTTTCCAATCTTCAAGTTGAATGAATCCACACCTTTCTCCTACCGATCACTTCCTTGTTTCCCAAATTATAAGTTTCAAATATAGATTTGGACTGTCCTGATTTTTGAAAGGAATGAAAGCTATACTCGGGATTTTTTGCTCAAGATGAACAATGAGGTACACAACAATAATACTGACTCATGTTTTTAAACGTTTATAGAAGTTCTCAAACAAAATTATAGACAATTAAAACACAACTACTTCTCATACAAAATACACGCAAACTAATGTAAACAAAGCAATCAATGGCCCATACGTTAGTTATATCAGACAACGGTAGAGGGCGAACTCCTTAGCATGATTCGCCAATATTTTTTAGATCAATATATGTAATGATGAGTTAACCTAACGAGACAGGAAATAATATGACATTCAAGGATACGTAAATTTCGTAGTATGACTGTGTGCTAATTATTTTTTCCTCTGATTTTTTTATGATTTTCGCTTCTTATTGTCCTTCAAGAAACTAATTGAGGCGATTTTGAAGGTAATAGAAAACGACTGAGAGTACGATTCATTTAGACCAAGACTATCGACCAGTTTTTGTTTGCTGTAGTAACTTTGAGGCCGGGAACCCTTTCTACTTCCTTGTTGAGGATAGATTTAGACTCCGCTTTTCTAAGGAGCAAAAATAGTATAGCGTCAAACGGGGTGAAGTAGGACGATTTGACTGATATTCACATATACACAGGTTTTTCACAGGTGAAAATATTTTGTATAGTGAAATTTAAACCCCAGTGTGTATTGAGATTCACGAATAAGGGAATTTTTTCAGTACGTATACTTGTGGGTACTTTGAATATCTTAGGTACAGTTCGAATTAATTTCTACCTCTGATTTTGTTATAACTTTTTGGTTCCTTATTGTCCTTTCAGGAAAAAATTGGGACAATGTTTTTAAAAATAATAGAAACAGATTGAGATCAATGTTTACTTAAACTAAGACGATGAACATTTGAAACTGCATCGAAATAGTTCAATAGATGCCAGATAATCTTCCGGGAAACAGAGGATGTATCAGATCATATGATACTATGATTGGCAAAATGCTATTTCATTTCCACTGTAGGTATTTTTGACAAACATTTTATGACGTTCGATAAGGTGTCTGATTGAGAGTTTGTTTTTTGTGTCTTATTTGTTCACACTCAGCAGTATAAGAACCCCCACTACACGGATATGAGCTCGCCGATAAATTATCGATGCCAAAATGTGGAGACCGCGTGGGTAGTTATATTAAAAAACCGGGGTCTCGAATACTCGAATTGCTTACTGTTCGGAGTATGTCGCAAGTTACTGTAATTGAAAAAAAAATCAAATGAAATTATTGAACCCGTTCCATGTAAATGGAAAACAAATAATCCGTTCGTCGTTCATTACGTTGTTTAGAAAATGTGTTATGACGACGAATAGATTTTTTTTGCTATTGACATAATGGTAACAAATAATATTATCAACGAAAATTGGATTTTATGACCACGAAGGTCAAACTCCACTTAGGTTATTCAGCATTAGTATTTTTGTTATACTTCCATTTCATTCAAAATAAATATAAAATCAATGCCAAACATTAATAAATGATACACGCATACTCTTCACCCTTAAGACAAAAGTACGCAAGGGTGATTGGTCTCTGCTCCAAGCACAATGTGCGGCGATTATATTATCTTGAGTTTTTGTGAATAACTCGTTGAATTAACAAAATGCCGAACATTAACAAATGATAATTTTTATTCAAACATTGTTTGCAACAATATAGAGGTCCACTGCGCATCGTATCCACCCTACATGTTCGGCAATTCAGTCCGTCCAAACTTTTTTCAAGTACAGCCTGGGGAGCAAACAAACTAGCTGAATTCAACGCCACCAAAATTCAAGCCTGTATTTTCTCTAGAAAGGCAGAACTAAGTATGCTTGATATAACAATGTCTCGTACCACCATTCCGACCAAGACCATTATATCTATGCTCAGTATTTCCATCAGCAATTCTCTTTCATAGGAAAATCATATCCGCTCCATCGCGATAGCTGCTTCATATGTGCCTGGTGAATATTGCCACACCCACTAATCGTTTGACCACATTAGAAAAGTCGGCGACCTTTCACTTTTCTATAGATACTTCCACGGGAAATGTTCCTCAGAAATCTCTGTAACATTACATCACCAGCAATACCAGTCAGACGAATTCGACAAGCCCAGGCAGCACATGCTTTCGTTGTAAAACTTGAAATCTGTTGTGTGAACAACTCTTTACCAAAACTCGTTCGCTTATAGAACGGCAAAACTTTAGAATTTTTTTGCCAATGGAAGTATTCCCCTAAACTCATAACCTCCAAAAGTTCAAAAAACAAACAAACACCTACTTCCTTTCTCTATCCTCCTAGGTACTTCAGACATCAGAGGAATTTCCTTTCGTGCGCGCCAAGAGTTGAAACAAAACATGCAACATACGCCGAATAGTAGGTAATGGATCGAGTCCCCGGGACTTTTGATACAACTTCGCCCACGCTGCCCCCATACTTTTGAACAACATTTAACCTTACTTTTTTCATTTTCTTATGTAATTGTGATTATTCAGGGTATTTTTGCATTCTTAAATACTGATTTCATTGGAATTGGTGATATTCAGATTAGACAGAGATATCTGATTCATAGAAGGCTTACCGAAATAACAGAATGAATCCAGCAAATACATTGTTCACTATGTTCCCTTATCACTAAATCTCTTTGTGCGAATAATTCATCACCTGTTCTGTGAAAAAATATTATGCAGTTGTATTTTATGAGACACACATTAAACAATCTAGAAATATTTTTGCATAAGAGAACAATTGAAAGAGAGAATACAAGACGTATTCATCAAGACACTTAATAAAGTATGCAGATATATTCTAACAACTGGTGATCAACTGGTCTTCTCTTCTCACTATGCAACTTTAGACATGAATGAAGCTGTGACATTCTGATTTAATGTAAGCCGATGGTTTCCTTCTATTTAAATGGGCCTAACCAATCCAATCACATTTTCGTATTCATATTAGTTGCTAATAAAATGGTTTGTTATTACAATAATGTCTCACCGCCTTCCTTTCTAATAATTTTTTCAGCTGCCAATGATCCCCAACTATAGCCGGCCTTTTCAAATATATTTCGGGACTTAACCACCAGTCGGTTATAAACACTTCTTCTTTCGCATTTTCGATGGCATCAGCGACCGCAGACATATAGGAAGCTCCATCCACAAACCAAGAAGCTGCCACATTCAGTCTAACTGGAGCGAATGAATGATTTTTGTTCAGTTGGACAAATTCTCTAGCTGAAACAAATTCACTATATAACAAACTGATTTACGAAGCAACGTTTCTGGAAGTTATTCATTATGTTTTTCTTTAGACATTTATTATGGTTATCAAATAATCTAAATGGATGTCTTTATTTCACATAATTTTAGATAGGGACTTTGATCAGATCGATTCAATTTTGCATTGGAAATTGCCTGAACCTATTGTTGCGTCAAATTTACATCAATTTGGGATGCAGTATGTAGATAATGACTCTCTTGGTGTGCGAAATGGAACACGACGACAGTTTATACGCGCCATTATGCGTAGCAGAATCGAACCCACAAACTCTCAAAATCAGACAGTGGAATAACTATAGGATAAAAGAATCTTTAGATAGAAAATTATTTAAAATGAGCAAACTAAATAATAGATACTAGAAGCTATAAACTAGGTAGAAGTACAACAGCTGAAGAAAATGATCAAATCAATGTACTTACTTATAAGTACCTAATAAATTACAAATACAAACAATAAGCAATAGATCCCAACTGATTAATAGAGAACAAGAAACTCTAGGAGAAATAATTGATGAACATTGCAATTAAGAAGGATTTGCAGGGAAATAATTAAAAAAAGGAAGTCAACAGTCAATCACTAGACGTCAAAGCTGTCAGTCACCTACCTATTATTGTCTTTTATCAATATCTGTGGTTGACTGGCTGAGACTGTTTTGACAAAAATAGAAGATAAATTCAATCTGAAATAGTGTTACCGACGAGGAAACAAAAGAGCTATTGACAGTATCCTATACAGTAGCGCCATTGACAAATCTTGGGTCAATGAACAGACAATATTATATCTCTCGCCTACTAACTAGCAAACTAGCTTCTCCGTTTAGACCGACAATAACCTGAATTTAGTTCCTATTTTTTTTTGTCATAAATGCGAGGAAAATTATTACCAGAACGAATGATAGGCACTTATGAAGTGAGTCGTTTTAGATTAGGACAATATACAATTAGGTATATGAATTCGAGTAGCTTCATCAATTTTTTACGAGTCAGCAATAAAACTAGGTTAATTAACTCATGTTAAGAATCTGAACTCTGTTTTACACAATGTACAGCCATATTTTATAGTTTCCTATTCCGTATGTATTGTATCTTAACTAAGTATCACCAATCCATCATAATAGGCCCTCATATTAATATGTACAAGCGAAAATGTTCCATCTGAAATAAAAGTATGTTTTATTGGTTGTAATTTATCAATTCAAACCCTATTCTGAACTTTTCTGCTAGAAAAATTATCAATTATTTAAATGAACCACTGAGCATATAGATACTTTCTGTTATGGTTTTAACGTTGCTCGCGTTGGTCGGTTGGCCACATTGTGTACTCGACTTAAGTTATAGTGTTCTGTTCCATGATCCGTGTTCGGAGAAGCCGATCTGTCATAGATTGTCATGTGACGAAAATAGCGCGGGATAGGGAGGAATTAGGTTATAGTTTTTCTCAAGACATGTGTTGCCTTTTTCTGAGGCTTTAATTATTAATGTTAATCAATAAATACTTCAAACGAAACAGTTGTTTATTGTCTCAGCTTGGGAAGTTGGGATGTAGGTATAAGTAGATACATAATATTCTGGCGACGAGTAGTGAAACCGAACACACGTCTACTGATAGTACTGATATCAGTGTTATCCATGTCCAAAACTGTAGGATTCTAAGTCTGAAGTCATAGTCGAGTCTGGTCTGGTGAGAAGAAATGGCGTTGATAGGAAATATTGAACCTTTCAATGCCAAAGAGTCGGATGTAACAACTTACATAGAGAGGCTAGAACAGTTGTTCGCGTGCAATGATGTTGGAGATGCAAAAAAAACAGCCTTGTTTCTAACACTAATTGGAGGAGAAGCATATGGAGTACTGAAGGATCTGTTAGCACCGAGCCTGCCAAGTCAAAAAAGTTATGCAGAGTTGAAGGGCCAGTTATTAAGTCATTATAGTCCCAAAAGGCTGATAATCGCAGAAAGGTACCAATTTTATAATGCCAACCAAGAAGAAAATGAGGATGTGAAAACGTTTGCTACCAAGTTGAAAAACCTAAGTCAATATTGTCAATTTGGAGCTTTCCTGCAAGAAGCACTTCGTGATAGGCTAGTCTGCGGATTGAGATCAGAGAATATGAAAAGGAAGCTTCTGACAGAGGATAGTCTCACATTTGAAAAAGCTTATCAAACAGCCATAGGAATGGAATTAGCAGAAGGTCATATAAGAGTTATGGGCACTGGAGTGATTAACAAGTTAGAAGGTCACAAAGGAGTCAGCACTCCCTCAAGGTGGAGGTCTAGTCAGGCGATGTCCCCAGGTCGAGGATCAGGTAGTCAAAATTACAATAGTTTTTCAAAATTTTCCAGCAATTCATCTAGACAGTGCAAGAGATGTCTTCGCTTTCATATGGATGAGAGTCGCTGCCCAGCAGTTAACTGGAAATGTTTTTCCTGTAACCAAATGGGTCACACAGCAAGGTCAACCTTATGTAGAAATAGAGTTCATGGAATAGAAGAAGATGGTAACCTGGAGGAACAACAAGAAGATGATCCCCTGGAATTAGGGTCATTAGAAGAAGAAAGTAAATTGGGTGAGCTTTATTTTCTGAATTCACTCGTACATGCTCAGGGAAATGAAAGTCTGAGAGTGAATATACTTATAGAAAATAAATTGGTGCTTCTAGAAGTTGATTCAGGAGCTTGCAAATCGGTCATGCACATTGAAGATTACAGAAAAATGTTTCCTAATCTGAATTTAGAACCTGTTAATTTTAAGTTGAGAGTAGTTACAGGTGAAAACGTGTCAATAGTAGGTCAAATAACTGTTAATGTCAACTATGAAAACAAAAATTATATTTTACCACTTATAGTATTAGATAGCCAAAATAGATTTTTGCCCTTGCTTGGCCGCAATTGGCTGAACATTTTCAACCCAAATTGGAGAAATTTTGTAATGTCTGAAAGTGTCAATGTCAAGTCGTTAGTATCAAGTCCGTCTGTATCAAGTCCGTCTGTATCAAGTCCGTCTGTATCAAGTCCGTCTGTATCAAGTCCGTCCGTATCAAGTCCGTCCGCATCAAGTCTGTCAGTATCAAGTTTGTCAGATAGTCTTAATCCAAGGCTAGTAAATAAAATTACTGGATTAATCTCAGAAATTAAAGTTACATTTCAAAAAGTTTTTACAGAAGAGCCAAATTCATGCATAAAAGGTTTTGAAATTGAAATAAAGCTAAAAGATGGTGTTAAACCCATGTTTCATAGGGCCTATGAAATGCCATACTCTATGAAGCCTAAAGTAGAGTCAGAACTATCAAAAATGGTAAGAGAAGGTGTATTAACTAAGGTTTCTAGTAGCAATTGGGCTAGTCCGATAATTGTAGTACCAAAAAAAAATTCCACTGATCCCAGGATATGTGTAGACTTCAAAAGAACTCTCAATAAGGTGATTGAATCAGACCATTGTGTTTTACCTCTACCAGAAGACATTTTTGCTTCCCTGAGTGGCAGTCATTATTTTTCAGTCATAGATTTAAAAGGGGCTTATCAGCAACTTCAGATAGGTCAAAAGTCTAAGGAACTTTTCACTATAAACACTCATATGGGGTTATTTAGATACAACCGTTTGACTTATGGCGTTAGTGCAGCCCCTGGTATTTTTCAGTCAATTATGGAAAGCATTCTGTCTGGTCTTATTCACACAAGATGTTATTTAGATGACATCTTGGTGTACGGACCAACAATAGACGATTGTCATCAGAATGTTTTGAAAACAATGACACGTTTAAAA